GGGGGGGGGAACGACACACACACAAGTGGAGTCAAACCATTAGGTAGATATGAGATGATGGAACAACATCTGAACAAACTGAAACATGGTCAAAATTCTGGCCATCGCTGTTGAAGATTAGAAACATACTCAAGAGTCCCTTTTCTCTTTGCTCAAACAGTGTTAGGCAGAAAACGTTTATAGTGGTGGATGGAGGCAGATTTGTGGCCTCTACACAGAAAAGCATTTTGCAAAAAAAAAAAAAAAAAACTCTGTGGACTCATTGGTTTAATTTAGCACTTTGTGATTTTTGTCTTGAAAGGTGCTATACAAATAAAATTTTACTTACTTGTTTTTCCCTGATGATGATAAATGTTTACACCGCCACTTCTAAACTGTTGTCTAATCGTTTTAAGGGTAAGAGTTGGGGTGTTGTCCGCACAGAAGGGAGATAAAAGTGGACCAAGTATTCGCTCGGCAGCCTGCAGCAATGCTACATTACTGGGAGGGCTGGGCGGACTCGGTGCTGCTACGCCACTGCTGGGAGGTTCATATGAGGAGACCCTACCGACAACATGTCGGCCGCAGTCACGTGTAGTAGGAATAGGCTAGCTCTCACTTGTCACCGATTTCTTATAAAGCACATTTTCTCAAATGTTATATTTAAATAAATTACTTACCGTCCGCCGGTTGCTGGAAGTTTACATAGGCGTATCCCAAGGAACGCCGGGTGATCATGTCCCTACAGACCCGGATAGAGAGGATTGCTCCAGCTGGGCTGAATTTCTCGTACAGCATGGCCTCGGTCACATCTTGATGCAGATCTCCGACGTACAGGGAGGCCATGGGGTAACTGGGAGCACTGGGGTTCATTTTCCCGTGGCTGTGGAGGCTAGTAGAATAATCGTACGAAGCTATATGTTCTTAAAGAAAAAGTTTGCGACGATGAGCCAATACCTCGGTTGTCCAACGGTCGCTAGCGTCACGTCGGTTCGGGGCAGAACGTGATACAACCGTTGACTACAGTCAAGTCAGTTGCAGTGTTTTCGGGTAAAAGAATTTATAAGACGGAGATGCTAAAATGGCAAAACGTCGACTTCTTATTGGCTTAAAACTGTCATTCAAACCTGACATGCAGAAATAAAAGCAAATATAGCGGTACTTGGCCTCGCTACGGAATCAGTAACACGTCGACTAAAAAAAATTCGATACGTTAGGCAGCCCCTGCTTGTACGTTACCGTCCAGTCCTCGAATGTCTCCTCCAGCTTCACCGACTTGTTACAAAAAGAAAAGGAAACGGGAAAAAAAAAAGATTTTTTGGCGTTTTTTATGTTTTAAATTTTTTTTGTATTTTTATTTTTTTATAGAATGTGTGCCGAGCGAGCTCAGGAGCACACACGCACTCACACAGCACTGACAGCCGGGGTTGAGGGGGAGGAAGTCCTCGGGAAGTTGTCTGATATATACTACTGGGCGCGTCACCGAAATGGACCAATCATCTTCCGAGATTGTTTGGCGAGAGAGAAAGAAAAAAAAAGATAACAAAGGGGCGTAGACCACTACTCTACGCGTGATGATGAAATCATGAAAAACGTTTTGTTAAATCCTCAAAATGCCTGATTGTGCCCACCAGAAAGCTCTCTTGTCAAGTGATGATGCAGAAGAACGAGCTAAATTCGCGCTCTTTAGTATCAACTGGCGGGAAAGGCAATGCCCATATTCATATACGTCATGCAACATTCCCAACTGCTAATCAGTTTTAACACTGAAACTGCGATAGGCATGGCTGAGACACCCCTCCCTCATTTGGCAAGAGTCTTAGGTTTTTTAATACACCCCTTTAACTCTACATCATTAAGCTTTCATACATATTTAGTGACTTAAGTCATTAAATGATACCTTTACAGAAATGAAAGAGAGCTTCAGTGACTGTTACTGATCAAAGGTGAACAGACCCACTGATCTGAAGTGGCCCACTGATCAAAAAAAAAATACCCACAGATATAAAGTGAATAAATGAGAATATTTTCTCCCACATTCCACCTAAATGCATCACATGTGCCCTTTAATACATCACTATCTGCAGAGGGCAGTGTTTTCAGTCCAGGAAGCATCCATCTCTCGTCAGACCAGTATACAACTGTGTCTGATCTTTAGTGTTAATTTTGCACCTCAAACTGCTTTATAATTCTTCTACAGGCAGTGATATGATGAGAGTACAAGGTTTTATCCCATATAAAGGGTGAAATATGACATGCCATTCAAATTTTATTCACTTCAGCCACCTAAAATCGCTTAAATCTTCCATAGGAATTAATTGGTCAAGTAGCAGCTATGGTGCAGATGATCAAATACACTCGAGTAAGTGTGAGCGCTTCTATAAAAGCAGACATTTTGACATTCATGTGTGTGAACACAATGCCACAACCTTCCCAGCAGTGGACATCCCAGCCGGAACAAGGAACAAGTATGGCTTGTTTTAAAGTTTACTTAGGAGAAACCCTCTTCTCTCTCTCTCAAAAGAACACGAGTACAGTAGGTCTTTGTTTAATTGAGTCGAAACAAGGATGGATGAGTTCTTGGACAATGTTCTTTGGACAGATGATTAAGATTCCGCATGGCAGTGGAGGAGTCCTAAAATGGGCAAATTGCACTCACTCATCCTACTATGAACTCCTCTATATGCCAAAATGATTTGTCTGATAACTAAAGCTTGACCAAAACTGCGGTCATTGTCTTGCTGCAGACGCAAGCACAGCAGGAAATCTATAACAGAATGGTTGAAAAACAAAGGAATCAAGGTGTTACAATGGCTCAGTTATGTGCACACCTCAACCTCATTCAAATGCTGTGGTGGGACTTTCAACAGAGGTGTGAATTCCTGCAAATCTCCATGAACTGAAGCAACACCCTAACATTGTAAATAAAAGTGGGCCAAAATTCCTCCATAACAATGTGAGAGAGTGATAAAGTTCAAATTAACAGTAGCCGAGGTCTGTTCTACAAGCTATTGAGTCATAGGATGTGCTTGACTTTTTCCCCACATGACTGCTTGAAGCCCTGTGGAAACTTTTCACATGACTGTATGGAACAGCCCTCATTTCTTTGCTTTAAACATTATTTCATGCTTGGGCCATTTGTGGGTTTGTCTCAGTGAAATCTGTGAACCAACAATTCACATCACACATAAAGAACAGAGAAACCGAGCACACAATCTTAATTTGAATGTTTTAATTCCACTTACATGAAAGCACATAACCAAATAACATACCCAAGAGCGTTACTCGCCGAATCCTGCATCCCAACTTTTTTTTAAAACCAAGATACTGTACTTAGAAGAAACTGGCACTACTTTGTGATCACTAAATGACCTTAATGCAATTTCCTATCAACTTACCTAAAATTCTCATTTTTATATTTGCCATGGTTTGAAATTTTGCCTTTTCAAAATGTACTTTCAAGGAAGATAAATGTAACTGTATTCCACCTAATCCTAAGCAGAGATTGCCAGTTTTAAAAGCGATGCCTAACCCTCACACCAGACTACTGAGAACCACATACATTCCAGGAGTCAAATCAATACTCAATAAGGGAATAAAATAAACAAAAGAAAATACAAAAAACACCTGAATAGAAAAAGAGTAGAAAGCCACATAAAAGCACATGGCAAAAAGTATCCTCTGCACTGCTGAAGAGATAAAATATCAAAAGTTACAGTATCGAGCCATTTTATCAAGTTGTTAACTTTATCTTAGGCTGTCTATATAGCTTGTCACGTGGTATGCAAAACTGCAGGACATTACAGTCTACTCGTTTCACTGATGAGTGAAAAGATGTCAGTAAAATGGAATGTAACCCTCTCACAAACCAAAAGTAAATTACAGCTTTTGTAAGTGGTCATTCATATAGAAAACCTTTCCTATGCCTGAAAGCACTGTAAAAACCCATTGAGCCATGACACATGTACCATCCATTTAAAAAAAAAAAAAAAAAAAATCTCTACCTGCTACACTGGACACTGACAGGGCCGTATGGATACAAGCAATACCGTAATAGGTGAAACCTGCCAACAGTATGTGTGTACTGCTATTGTCAGATGAAGAAAAAAAAAGTAATGAATTCAGACTACTGTGACCATTTTTTCCTTTTTAACACATGCCTCAAAGGAGTTTTGTGGACTAAAGTGTCACAAAGGTTGTAAATGTTCAGTTCAAGTAAAAACATACAAATTATTATCAAAGTTACACTTCGAGGTTGGTTGGTTTGCTTTCCTGCAACAGCAGCGGTTTGCTACAGTGAATAAGGTTCGAGAGAATGGGGCAGATTTGGATCCAAAGGAGGGATTTCATTTGGACTAAAAGAGACAAAATTATTTAAAGGAAAAGAATTCTAAAGGAAATGAACATCCACTGGGTCACACGATGAGTTATGTTAAAAAAAAAATAAAATAAAAACAACCAATCTATTCCATTCTTTTCCCTGTGGAGGTGTTGATACACTTAACACATACACTTCAATGCTTCAATGTATCTGCACACACATACTGTACTTTACAAACAGAGTGGAGTGTAAACATACATATTTGTGCATGTATGTGGACACACAACCACACACACAACTTAGGCTGGTGAGAGGTTTAAAAAAAAAAAAAAAAAAAAAAGGAAAGAAAACTGGGGTTTCTTTTCTCCTCTGAAGTTCAGTTCTTGTCTTCAGCTGGCTGCTCCCCCTCTTCTACCTCAATCCCGCCCTCACCGCTTGGGTCCGACATCCACAGCTGCATTTAAAAAGTGCAAGATAATAAATTTAGCGCTCACGTATAAGCATAAGGGAAAACCAAATTTTAATATAGTTTCATCGAGAGGAGACACTCACGGTCAGGTTGTCACGGAGCAGCTGCATGATCAAGGTGCTGTCTTTGTAAGATTCAGTGTTGAGTGAGTCCAGCTTGGCGATGGCATCATCAAAGGCCTGGAAGACACACAGTGAAACAATCAGGACTTCCAAAACCCAGAGTACAGTCTTGAAAGTGCCTACAGTGACCTTGTATTAGCAGGGCCAAAAACAATAAGATAAACAGAAAGCAACAACAAGCAGCCATTTATAGATCTCTAGGATAAAAGGGTACATCTGTGTTGTGCCTGATACTGTAAACTACTTTGATTATATGGGGTGGTCTTTTAGAAACAAGTACAAGTGTTTGCACAAAACTGTGCTCTGGCAGACCATTTATTCACAAATCCATGAACACACTGAATTATTTTAGCCTTTTCCCAACTTAATAAATTACTAATTATTTAATGCAGACAATTCCATGCATGCTGATACAGGCAGGTGATGTGAGCGTCCCTTGTCATGTCTGGTAAATGATCACACCAGGTGTGTACCTCGCATGTGTTTCCTGTGACCTGGGCAGGTGAATAGTGTGTTCACTGTTCAAACGAACTGAATGATAAGCACAACATGGATCACCTACTGTATCGAATGACACAAAAAAAAAAGAAAAGAAAAAAGTGTCCTAAAGACGTCAACACAAGAAGTTATATAAAAATCTAGCGGCGAGCTGTTGTTATGCGATGCCAGGAATGTCCAGACTACTGCGGTGTCCATCAAATTATTTATTTTTTCTTTCAATAGTATGTTTTCTCATAGTGTCATGAAAGGTACTGCAGTGAGGTGTAGCTTTACCTGTGGTTGCTAGGATATTTAAAAGTAGAACAGGAGGCAGAACCTTAAGCTTTCAGGCTCCTCTTCTGTGGAACCAGCTCCCAGTTTGGATTCAGGAGATAAACACCCTCTTTACTTTTATGATTAGGCTTAAAACTTCCCTTTTTGATAAAGCTTATAGTTAGGGCTGGATCAGGTGGTCACAAACTCTTCCATAGTTATGCTGCTGGGGAATTCCAATAGTGCACTGACTGTTGGTTGTTGGCTGCCCCTGCCAGAATTATCCATCTGTCCATTCGCTTCCGCTTATCATTTTCAGGGTCACGGGGGGAGCTGGAACCTATCCCAGCTGTCTTAGGGCGAGAGGCAGGGTACTCCCTGGACAGGTCGCCAGTCTGTCGCAGGGCTAACACTTAGACTGGAGACAAGCAATCGCATTCACTCCCCCATTCACACCTATGGGCAATTTAGTGTTTCCAATTAACCTGTCCCCACTAACTGCATGTCTTTGGACTATATTCGCGTGGTTCTCCCCGCTGCCAGAATTATCTTCCTCTTGAATTATTTTTTTTTCCTTAAAGCGACCTTTGTTGTGATTTGGTGTATATTATAAATAAATCTGAACTGAAATTGAATTCAAAATACGAGTCCGTTGCTTTATTGGAGGGTTTTAGTCTTCTTGCCTGGGCACAGTAAATTTGTGGGATCCTGACATGTGGTTGCCATAGGTTAACATGGAAATTACAAGAAATTTCTAAATGATAATAATTAGCAGCTTTATTTTACTTTATAGCAGTGACTTTGGTTTAATAGTGTGTGGCGATACTAACAGATTCCATCTAAACCTAAATCTCACTTCGGCAAACTTTATTTTGATTTCATTGCTTACCGTGTCTGAATGAATTATATCACTATTTTAAAAAATTAAAAGCTTTATCGCACACCCGACAGTTACACTGTTACCCCTATCTTTAGTCTTTGAGGGACACGGACAACAGAAGACCCAACGGCCAAGCAGTCACTCCTGTTATACCCGTTTTACTTCTCTGAAGTGTGCTGGCTGTAACACATTCATAGTTCGTACATTACAGTGCACTAAGCATGGTCACAAAAAAACAAGAATACAGGCAGGCACAAAGACACCCATTTGAGCACTTACTGTCCGATCATTTGGACACAAGTGGACCCTAACAGAGTCGTGGAAGTGGAAAGGCTTAATGTTGTCTTTGGTATCAATTACATTAATCAAGGGTCTGTACTTTTATCAGCAATTCCTCAGAATGTTGTGAAAAAGAAACGCTGCCTTTATTCCCCCATTTTTCAAGGTCTTCTTTAACAAAATCCTAAAGTATAAAGAGTACTGTAAGCAGAAAAATTTAAAAGACTCATCCTTTCCGCTGACAAACTAACAGTGTACTTTCAAGCATAACCTTATTTCCACCAAAGGGTTAGGGTCATACCAATCAGAGTCAAGTCAGAGACATGGAGATTAGCAGCAGTGCGAGGACCGGAGATAGCAGAATATCAATTTAATCTTCAGACTCATGGCAATGATAGGCACAGAAACCACTGAGTGACACTCAGCTACGAGAGAGTGCACGCGTGCTACTAAGTGTATTTATTATTTTTATGTATCCATAAGGTGATATGCATGACATTAATAATGGCCTCAAAATCAGTACCTGTACACCTCTGGTGGAAAAGTGGTACTAACATCATTTTCATGATGCTTCAGTGCTTCTTAAAGAGAGGGACAACAAACAGAGGACCCTTCTTACCGTCTTGGCCAGTTTGCAAGCCTCCTCAGGCAGGTTTGCAATCTCGTAGTAGAAGACGGAGAAGTTCAGCGCAAGGCCCAGGCG